TCGCCTCCATCCTCCCTGGGGCTGGCGGTTTCCTCCAGCCCTGCCAGAGCAGGAGGCTGTGGGGCAGGGATCTTGCTCAGCACTGGAGCCTTTGTGATCCTGAACCCAGGCCTTGATGTGGGACCATTGTTCGTGCAGCTGGGGAAATGGGAGAGCTTCACCCACCCTTCCTTTCTCCTGGGTACAGCCTGTAACTGCGCTGTCTTCCTTGCAAGAAGGGCTGTGATGTGCACAAGCAAATCCCTGCAAAAGCTGAAATCTCTCAGCTTTGTTCCTTCAGTTTTATTTCAGCCCAACGTAGCAGTGTTAACTCCGGTTTTTGTCTTCCCCCTCTATCCTTTAAGGCACAGAGGCTGCTGGCGCACAGGAGACCGCAGAAATCCTTCTTTGAGACGCTCATCAGGAGCCTGATCATCTTGTGCGTGGCTATAGCGGTGGTCTTGTCTTCCATCTCCGTCTGCGATGGCCGCTGGCTCTTCGCGAGGGGACAGCTCTTCGGACTGTGGCACTTTTGCACCGTTAGCAACAGCAGCGTCCTGAAGTGCGTCACTGACCTCAGCCTGGCCAGGGTGGAGGGGCTGAGCGTGGGGGTGATCCCCATAAGAAGCATGGTGTCCTTTGCCGTTGTGGTTGCCATATTTGGCCTGGAGCTCTTGATGGTCTCCCAAGTCTGCGAGGACACCAATGCAAGACGGAAGTGGTCAATGGGCTCGGTTCTCATCCTGGGCTCATTTTTGCTGTCGGCCACTGGGGTTCTGAGCTTCTCTATCCTCGTGAAGGACCACCTCACCTTCACGGGCTTCACGCTGACGTATTGGTGCGAGTTCATCGCTTCCTTTCTCTTCTTCCTTAATGGGATCAGCGGACTTCACATCAACAGCCTCACGCAGCCCAGGAGCAGGGTAGGCAAAATCTAGGCACAAAGGGTGTACTTCTGCCTTTGTGTAATCAGCTTTGCCAATTAGACTGGAAAAAAGGGAGCCTAATGAAGTTTGAAAAGGACACCTTGTCTTAAATTGTGAGCAAGGAGAAGCAGCATGAGTCAGTCTTCACGCTGTAGAAGCCGTACCCACCCGCCGATGAGTGCAGAGGGCTGCGCAACACCAGCAAAGCAGACACTGAGACTGGCTGCTGCTGAAATGCGTTTTTCTGGAGAAGCGGATTAAAGAAGAGGGCGTCCCTTTAACTCGTGGAGGGGTGGCAGGCTGCAATCTACACACGTGGGCTGTTTCGAGGCTTGCACAAATCCTGTACTGCTATGGGTCTGGTGTTGCTGTGCCTTCCCCTGTACTCTGGAGCCTGTGAAGAGTGTGACACCACTTCGATGTGTCTCAGGGACAGATAATTTGTGCCTGGCCATGCTCACTGGTGTGGAGTATTGAAAATCTTCACTGGATCTCACTCCTCCACTTCTCTTTCAAAAGAGAAAGGCACACAGATATTGATCTGGGCACCTGTTTTGTTTCCTCCTGGCTCGTTCCCTGTATCTGTCCTCTGCTCTCTGAGTTTTTCTGGGACACCTCTGACAGAGGCGCAGGAGATGGAGCAGTCTCGGGGCCAAGGGCAGATGCTGGGTGATGCAGGCATATGAGGAAGGGTTGCAATGTCTTCCTCAGGCAACAGTGCACATTCCTGTGCTCACAGCCTCTCCCCCCTGTCACCACTCCTCTGCCACCCCTGTAGGACATGTGCCAATCGGTCACCCAAACTGGCTCCCTCACAGCCCTTGCAAAGTTCACTGTAACAGGGCACTGCTCTTCCTGGTTTCTTTTTTGTCCCTTTGGGGCAGGAGGGACAAGCTCTGCAGGGGCTTTAGGTGGGCGCTGTGTCTGGGCAGACCGTGCTGCACCGCACCTTCTGGCATATGCTTTGGTTGTCAGGGTTTTCTGCTGGAGCGATGGGAAACCTCCTCATCCTGCAGCTGAGAGCCTCCTGGAGCATTTCTGCTGGGAAGAGAAAGCTCTCGGTCCTCCTGACCAGACCAAGTCCTTTTCTTCTGCTGATTAACAGTGGGCCTGGGAGGAGAAGCCCAAGATTGCCTAAGGAGCGGCTGATGGGGGGCAGCTCAAATTGCTCACAGCTGATGGAAATCCAAAGAGACTTGGCCAAAATTGTATTAAGGCTGGTTTTCCTCCTGCCAATGCCTGAGTCAAGATCTCTATAATTGCTGTACCTTTGAAGTTCCCAGTGGTGGCTGATGTAAAATGAGAAAAGACCCCAGAGATTGCGTTGCCCTGCATATGTCTTCGCTGTCCAACATACAGCACTCTGTTGCCCACAGATAAAAATGCTTTCAGATTATTTCAGGGTCTCTGGTTTAAAGTTTATTTTGTATTGTCTGGTAAGACTGCTTGTTTTTGTGTTAGGATAAATGTTTCTTCAAGTTTCATCTGTGTAGCTTGTCTCATAGCTGTTGAGCAAGGTTTTCATTTCCTGTGCAGCAAGTTTGACACAATTTTCCACCTGAAACAAAAGCATCGTGGCACAAAGGCGCGGAAGGCTGTGTAGGTGAGCCACAGGTAAACAGCTCTGTGTTTGAAAGCCCAGAGTCCCAAGTCCTGCCTGACTGTTGCTCCTGTGGACTCACTTGCCTTCATGAGGACAGTCTCCATTCCTTCTCAGATTTCCATGACTTTTTAAGATAACACTCCTAAGCCTGTTTTACGATGCAGTTTCAAACCAGGCTTGCTCTGGACAGTGCTGGTTGTGCTTTTCCACGTGAGTCTGCCTGTCTTTCTGGTGAGATGATGCACAGAGCTGTGCTACCCAGCCAACGCCTGAAGCTCTGGCAACGTTTGGGGCTTTGTCAGGGTTCATTGACCCTCTCTCAAGGACAAGGACTTGTGCCTTTAACCCACCTCTGGAAAACTACACCGTGATTGTGTCTGTTTTGTGAAGGTGCTTTTGATTTGCTCAATGGCACTGTTGAAGACCTGCTAGTGGGATTAACTTGCTTGTGTGAACAGTGCTCTTGGCTTTAGCAGAGATGCTTATCCCAGGGAGAGTCTGCAAAGTTCAGCCCCAAACTGTTGCACTGTGTTGTTACCAGGTGGAAGAGTGCCTTAACTAACCAGTGAATCGGTTGTGCATCGGGGTGCCCAGCCAGGCAGGACACTTCCCCTGTACGAGGTCACAGGTGTCCATGGCTTGTCTAGAAACATGGATGTAACTTCCAAGTGCCTTCTTGGTAACATCTAAAACTGGAAAACAATTCTGCATGTACTCCCTTTTGAGTTAGTGGGAGGCTGTGCCGTAGCCCGACTGAGCCCCAGCTCCCTGGTTAGAGGGAGGCAGTGGATAACTGGCCATTGAGTTCACCCAGAACTTGGTGCAATTGTGAACGATTTTAGGATGCCTTCTGCTAGCTGAGGAAGAGGCCTTTTGCTGAGGGTAGGGAATCCTCTAGGGAAACTCCAGTAACTTTTTTGCCAGCTGGCTTTGTATAGTACTGCTTGACTTAACTAATGCTGGGAGAAAATGTGTTTTAATGGCTAAATACTACAAAACAGGGTTGATTGTCTCAGAGACATCCTTATATACAGCAACCTGTGCAGCAAGGGGTAACTGTTCATTTTCTGAAGCCTGTGGAAGTGTCAAACAATATTCCTGAAGTTTGTTAAATAAATTTATTTGAAATAAGATAACTGTAATCTCTCTTTTTATATTTAGATATTGGGGTGCAGATTTAAGAGGCCAAGTGGGGTTTATGTAATCTCCCAGGCACTGCTTCTGTATGTTTACCCACTTAGACCAATGCAGAAGTGACTGCTTGGTGCTTTGCTGAGCTCCGACCAAGGGAGTTGAGCCTGTGTAGCAGCTGCACACTCCCCTTTCCTTTCCCCTCCAACGTGTCCACATCAACCCAAGCAGCCAGCCCGCTTTCTTGTTTTGCAAAACAAGAGGGGCAGTCAGCTCTGCTGCTTCGTGAGAATTACAGATAACCTTGGAGGCTCTTAATGATTTCCTGCCCTTGCATGTGCTCTGTTTACCAGCTAAAGAGCTCTTTCCTGTGTCCTTCACCTCCCTTTTCCCATACCGCACCCTGTGTCCGAGGCATCCTGCTCTTTTCCCTAGCTGTGCTTATTAGGCCTGCAGAAGTGGTATCCAAGTACACATGTATTTATACAGGTTTTTTTCCCTAAGTTCACTGTACTAAAAGATTTAGTTAAATGTCAGGAAAGCAGACTTCCAGCTTCAGCAGTGAATTAGTTTATGTAATCTCAAGTGAGTTAATTAGCACCTGGTGTTTTCTTTCTGATGGGAGAAGTCACTGGCCTGTTGCTAATGGTTTAATATCTCTTAAAAGGAGGGTAATGAACATCACCTCTTGTTAATGAGCTGTTTAGACTTGCTGAGTTACTGACTTTAATTGGAAACTTGTGCACAAACCATTGCTTGTGGATAAGAATAAGGAAATAATGGTACAGGGCATGCTAGCTAGGGAGATATCCTGGACTGTTATTCATATTTTGATTTTAAGTCTACAGTACCTTCACCAGCTTCCACGTGTAAGGTGGCCCTCATTTCTGGGTGAAAGAAAAGTCTGTCCCCAGGGGTTGTCCTGGAAGGGGTGTTGGCTGGATTCCTGGGGCCTCTCACCTTCACATGGATCCAACCCCTCTGAGTTGGCACCCCCCCTTCTGAAACAGCTCATTTCAGCTCCCCCAGTGCCCAGTGAGGCATTGCACAAAGTAATTATTCACTGCACAACAATACTGCTGCTGGATTCTGACAGTTTTGCTGTGAACTTCCTTGTTGCTGTGTTGGGAGAGAAAATCCATTAATCACTTCCTCTTAAATTCAGCCTTAGGTCTTAAGACTGCTGACGTTCAGGCTGCTCGAGCTGCTGCCTGGGCCGCTGGCTTGTGGAGCTGCACCGAGCCTCTCAGGGGACCTGGCGTGAATAGCCAGAGGCTGTCACAAGTGTCCCAGAGCAATGAGAACTACTTGACTGAAAGATGGACTAAAGAGTCCTATTTACTCAAACACCTGCCTTGCATTGAATACCAAGGAACAAGTATAGAGAAAGAGAAGAACTCTGAATATGGAGTTTGCGTACAGCCTGTGTCAGTGGTTTCAGGTCACTGATGCTGGAGTCTGTGTGCCTTGCACCCGTTCATCTCCCACTTTTTGTATGGATCACTGAGATTTATTTCCCTGTTCCTCCTCATCTGCTTATAAACTTGTCAGTGTTCCTGGGACTGCTCTTTTCTTCAGCATTTTTCAGATCGGTTAATCAAAAGAGATCCCCAGCAGGGAAGGGTGCTTCTGCATTGCCTGAGCAGAAGATGAGCAAGGTAAGAACCCATCCCACTATGGTGGAGTTTGGCAGCAGCTTTCTACATCCAGGTCACAGCACCACAATGCCTGGGGACACCTGCTTCTGGCACCTGCCTGAGTGGCCCTGCTATTCCCAAAGAGCTGAGGACTCAAAATGCCAGCTAACATCCGATAGTTTTTATGGACCCTCAGCTCTTCATACGAACCAGGCCAGTGCTTGAAGCAAACATGTAATACAGAATCTGTGAATACTGCCTTTTTTTGTTATTTCAAGCAAGGCAAATAAAACTAAAATGGCCATGTAAAAAAATAACTTACACTAGAACTGTTTTATAAATACAAAAAAACCTCAGCATTTTATTTTGGGGCATGTAGTTCTCCCCTCTTTCACCAGAACTCCTGTAAAAATAGGTGTCACATGCAGCCTGGGCTCCACCCCACCTTGTGCCATCAGTGCACATCCTAACTATGTGCTGCAGGGCTGAGCTCTTACACTGGCTTGTGGGACAGCCAATAATTGCATCAAATCTAATTAATTACATGTTATTGTATCTCTGAATCTATATTTCTTCATTTATGCCAGAAGGCGGCACTTGCATTTAAAATAAACATCTGCTTTGGCTTGACTGATGTATAT